AAATCGGACAATCAGGAAATGAAAAACAATTATAATGAAAGGAAAGGACAGACAGAGGATGTCAAGTCAGAGGGAAATAAAGCAGGGATTAATTAAAGTCTAGAAATACACAGTAACTAGAACTACACAGAGTACCAAAGAATAAATGAAAATCAAAGATGAAATAAACAAAACTAAGAGCTTTTAATATTCAACAAGAATTAAAAACTTTGGAACCATCCAGGGATCGTGGAAAACATTTGCATGTCTCATTAGCGACCCATAAATAATTTAATAATAAAGTAATCAGTGCAGTTATGATGAATGCAAGCTAAATGTCACACGCTGAATAAACCGCTTGTTCCTTTGCGCACTGGCTGGTTACACAAACAGGGAAAATAAACTAATAAACAGAAAATAGTAACATTTTTACTCACTCAGAGGCCATGTTCGCTGGACGATCCCGAGGTTACCTGACAAACACAAAACAAGACTTAATGCTTTTTATTGGAATCAATTTAGATACAAATATACAAATATATACATTTTAATGTCCTTGCCAGCAAAATGGTGACCGGGACACAATAAAAAGCAAAACTAGAGAAAAACATAAGTCACAAAGGATAAGGAGAGAGCAGTGGTCTGGAGCCACCACCCGTTAAACCATCACCTGTCTGGGTGTTATCTTTCATATTCATACCACAAGGTTTAGGATTGTGTTCATGGGAATTTTTGGCCATTTTCCCCAAGTACATTTCTGAGGTCAGACACTGACGCTGGCTCACACTCTGCTCTAATTCATCCCAAAGGGCTTCTGTCGGGTTGAGGTCAGGACTCTGTGCAGGCCAGTCAAGGTCTTCCACACCAAACTCTCTCATCCAACTCTTTATGGACCTTCCTTTGTGCACTGGTGAGCAGTCATGTTGAAACAAAAGCTGTTCCCACAAAGCTGGTAGCATAAAATTGTCCAAAATGTCTAAGGGATTGACCCAAACGCCTGAAAAACACTCCCACACCCTAATCCCTCCTGTACCGAACTTTACACTTACCACAACGCAGTCAGACAAGTACTGTTGTCCTGGCAACTGCCAAATCCAGACCAGTCCATCAGATTGCCAGACAGAGAAGCATGGCTTATGGAGATCACATCTCTACTGCTCTAAAGTCCAGTGATGGCGCACTATACACCACTGCTTTCAGCACTTTGCATTAACCTTCGTCATGTAAGGCTTGGATGCAGCTGCTCGGTCATAGAAACCCATCCCATGAATCTCTCTACACACTTCTTGAGCTAATCTGAAGACCACA